CAACTTGAAAATTCCACGCTCGTAGAAAGTCTGATCCTTTTCGGCCAAAAACTGAGTTAAACGAGATTTTACAGCGTCATCATCGTTAAAAGTTTTACCACGGAGGGAGTTGCCCAGGGATCGAAATAAGTGGTAATCCGATGGCGCGAGATCAGGGCTATATGGTGGGTGTAAAAACAATTCCCAACCAATATCCATCAATTTTTGCCGAGTGGACAAAGACATGTGCGGCCTAGCATTGTCCTGCTGGAAAATGACACCTTTACGATTGACCAATTCTGGTCGCTTTTCCTTGACCGCTGCATTCAATTTGTCCAGTTGCTAACATTCACGAATAATAAAAGATAACATAATAATAATAATAATAATTTTCTAATATAACGTTTACGGATATCATAAAAATGGGAGAGATGTGTATAAGAGACAGCTATAGCATTGCGGTCGCTTTTCCTTGACCGCTGCATTCAATTTGTCCAGTTGCTAACATTCACGAATAATAAAAGATAACATAATAATAATAATAATAATTTTCTAATATAACGTTTACGGATATCATAAAAATGGGAGAGATGTGTATAAGAGACAGCTATAGCATTGCGGTCGCTTTTCCTTGACCGCTGCATTCAATTTGTCCAGTTGCTAACATTCACGAATAATAAAAGATAACATAATAATAATAATAATTTTCTAATATAACGTTTACGGATATCATAAAAATGGGAGTGAGAGACATCTATAACTGAAATCGGCAATTACCTAGTTGCCAACCCAATACAATAATTTTGTGAAACCTGATAATTCGAAAATTCCAAAAAAGGAGGGAGAAATGGGGAATGAGACTGTTATTTGTTAAAAATATTTAGAAAGCAACATTTTCCCGAGCGTAGGTCGAGCAACGGGTCGACCGAGTCGATAACGGCTCGAGCAAATTTCGGCGTAGCGTCGGAGGAGGGAAAGTATCTCTCTATCCATCCCCGAGTGTATGATCGATATAATATAATAACGAGAACAACCACGGCAGATCGACGCGTTCGTTCGAACTCCCCATGGGCCTATGGGGATCTGATTGCAAACGAATGCGGCAGGGTTACAGTCTCCCTTCATAGACGATTAATCCAGTTTACGCGCAGACGTTGCCTCGGTATGGGGTTCCTGTAAGCCGAGAATCCGCACAAACGTCCCTCCCGCGCTTAAATATATTCAATTACGAAGCTCGAGGCAGCTCGGACTTTTCTCTGACTTTCCTCCTTTTTTTCCTCTTTCTCTTTACACCCCGGTTTGTAGCTTTTCGCCGCACCTTTGGTTTCGCTCGTTCTTTGTTCTTTTCACAGACGGAAGGGACGAGCTGGCCGGACGCGACGCGCTGCCATTTTTATCTTCCGAAGCCAACCGAATCCGTGCCGGCCCTTTGGAATTTCGAGTTTTCGAAACGGATTCGCGCTTCGAAACCGATGTCTCGAAGCTCGTGGGGATTTTCGTCGAATCGCTTCGCGGCCGGCTCGGATTCTAGCCTTCTGGATCTCGATCGGATCGGAGGCTGGCGATCATTTATCCGTCGAAACTCGAACAATTTCTCTCGTCGCGGTGATCGGGTAAACCCGTGTTCTGCGGATGCGAGTCGCTCGCGAGGGACGCTGGGCGAACGGTGCGAGGGGTGCGACGGGTGTGGGACGAGGGGGCAAAAGGGGGGGCAAAAGGGTGAAAGCGGAGCCAGAGCAACGAAGAAAAATAAGCGCGAAGGAGAGACAGGAATAAAGTCGGGGACAGAGGGAGGGGAAGCGAAAAAATAGGAGAGTCGAGCCTGCAGGCTGCAGCCAAAGGTATCGGAGTGGTGGGTACTGGCAAAGCGAAAGCTGAAGGGAGACAGGCATCTCGCCCTTCTTTTGTCCCTGGGCCTCGGTCCGATATTGAAATGGAGTCGTTTGAGTGTGAATAATTTGCTTTACCCGGGCCACCCCACCCAACCCCTACCAACCACTCTCTGCCATCCTTCTCTCCTCTTCTCTCTTCTCTCTCCCCCCTTCTCTCTCTCTCTCTCTCTCTCTCTCTCTTTCTCTTTCGCTTCTCTTCTCTCTTCGCTTCCAGTTTGTCTCTCTTGCCATCGCCCTTCGACATTGCCACATTTCGCGAGTCACGGCAACCGATTCGAACTTTCCGCTGATTTTACGTGAAATCTTTCTACGCCAGGGTTCCCATGTTTTCATGGTGAAACGTCGGCAACCTACTTCGCAATGACGACACTATTACGGCAATGCGAAGCGCGGGATCATTTTCGTAACTCATCGTTTCGATGAATTTTTACAGGAATTCGTCGAAACGCGAGATAACATGTGATATTATCTTCGTCTGTAAAGTACTTAACGGACTCCCCGATTCTTCAGCAATTTTCGGGAAGTTTCAGGCAAGTTTCTTCGTATTCGGAGACACGGATATCGTATCACAGCGGGCTCGATCGTGTTTTCTTCAATGCGAATTGCGTCCGACGACTTTTTTCTGTCGTTCACTACGCTCTTTCGAACAGATTTATTATTATTTGATTAAGATTGTGATTTCATTATTATTATTACTCGACATAACTTCGCAACCTTGTTATAGTTCGTATAGATTAGCTCTATACGATAATAATATAATAATATAATATACTATTATATTAATAATAACTATTATAATAATAGTTCGTATAGATTAGCTCTATACGATAATAATATAATAATATAATATACTATTATATTAATAATAACTATTATAATAATAGTTCGTATAGATTAGCTCTATACGATAATAATATAATAATATAATACTATATAATTAATAATATAATAATTCCTTAAATAAGATTTATTTATTATTATTACTCGACATAACTTCGCAACCTTGTTATAGTTCGTATAGATTAGCTCTATACGATAATAATATAATAATATAATAGTATATAATATAATATACTATTACATTAATAATAACTATTATAATAATAGTTCGTATAGATTAGCTCTATACGAACTATAACAAGGTTGCGAAGTTATGTCGAGTAATAATAATAAATAAATCTTATTTAAGGAATTATTATATTATTAATTTAAGGAATGGCGGTGATCTTATCTTTCGTTTCACCTTGTACCAATTCATTCCAAATCTTTGCGTTCTTTGATTCCATAACTAATGGGTAACTTTCCGTATGAATTCAATGAATAAATAAATAAATAAATAAATAATTGCGCATCGTACGATCCGCGACCGTCGATTCTCGACCGCGGATTTTCGCCGACTGCGATTTACCGAGCTTGTCTACATCGTAGATTACCAACAATTAGATGAGGTACGATCGAGAAAGCGGTCGGATCGAGTCCACCGTTGAATTTATTAGCACGAAAATCATAGCGACCCCGCGCGCTGCGTGCAACGAATCAATTAAAACATGTAGTATGCGGAGGCGCGCGCATGCGCCCCTATTTCTGTCAGCGTTAATATTACGTGGTCGTAATCGACGCATAATCGACGGATTCCCGCCGGCGATCGGGCACGATCGACGTAATCGGTCGCCGGACCGATCAAGGAGAATCGGCCATGGACGAAGGATGACAAATTCTTGCTGATTCAGATGACGATCCGCGGAATATTAATCGGAGCCTTAGAAATTTGACGCGACCTCAGCTTGTTCATGGAGACCTGCCCTTGATACCCGTCGCGTTAATAATGCTTTGTACCTGCACGAAAGTATACGTTTAGAATACGTTAATTAAGAAACAGAAAGAACGGAGCCCTGAAAGACTCCTTGGGCAGGAACATTGCAAATCCTTTATAGCATTATGGTTGTTTATATCGGGCAATACCGAAAGATCGGGGACACTTGGCTCGTTCGATCGAGCCAAAGCATTTAATAATATAATATAGTCTAATATATATAATAATAATATAATATAATATTTATATATATATTATATTATATATATTATACTATATTATTATACTATATTATATAATATAATATAATATAATATAGTATAATATATATAATAATAATATAATATTATATATATATATATATTATATTATTATTATATATACTATACTATATTATTATACTATATTATATTATATGATATAATATAGTCTAATAATATAGTATAATATATACTGTATTATATATATATATAAATAATAATATAATATATAGTATAATAGTCAATAATAGCCATTTATATTAATATAGCGATATTTATTTAGATGGGACAGCGCAGAGAGCGAATGATGGCGGACGACGAAGCGTCGGAAACGATATTTCTGCCCGAAACGCGCATCGAAGCGCCGAAAAAGAGACGAAGGTAAAACGCGACCGGACGATGAGCCAACGATCATCGAGGATTCATCGGTCTTTTAGGAGGTCAATGTCATCGGGCGGCCGGCAGTCGGCGCGGTTGCCGGCGAGCCGGTGCGGATCTTCTTAAAGATGCAGACCGCATACGAATCACGGTGTATATAATCCACCGGCGGTGCCATCGGAAATCAGTCAACTCGACAAGACAAACCGAGTAACTTGCTACACCAACGATGAAGGTACTGGATCCTCTCAATTGCACCGTCGATACTCGTAACTCCTGGATCGTCAAACGTTCGACTTAATCGAACTCGATTCGACTGTCAAATTTTCGCGAAATTCACCGGAGAGAACGTTGAATCGAACGTCTCTAGATGTTGATCGAGAAAATTGATCGACCAATTCGTTTGATATTCCAGATCTTTGTCGCATTCGCTGTTCTCGCCGTGGCGGCCGCGGAACCACCCAGGTACCGTCAGCAACAAAGACAATACTACTTCGCCAGGCAGCAGGAGGACACAACCACGGTCGACGCTCCGTACGCTCCATCCAATTGGAGACCAACCGGACCAGCCTTCGAGCTTCCTCAGAGAGGATCGCAGGTTCCTCAGAGGCAATACGGAGCACCAGCCGCCCCTCAGCAGCAGTACGGAGCACCCGACGCTACTCAGCAACAGTNGTGTATATAATCCACCGGCGGTGCCATCGGAAATCAGTCAACTCGACAAGACAAACCGAGTAACTTGCTACACCAACGATGAAGGTACTGGATCCTCTCAATTGCACCGTCGATACTCGTAACTCCTGGATCGTCAAACGTTCGACTTAATCGAACTCGATTCGACTGTCAAATTTTCGCGAAATTCACCGGAGAGAACGTTGAATCGAACGTCTCTAGATGTTGATCGAGAAAATTGATCGACCAATTCGTTTGATATTCCAGATCTTTGTCGCATTCGCTGTTCTCGCCGTGGCGGCCGCGGAACCACCCAGGTACCGTCAGCAACAAAGACAATACTACTTCGCCAGGCAGCAGGAGGACACAACCACGGTCGACGCTCCGTACGCTCCATCCAATTGGAGACCAACCGGACCAGCCTTCGAGCTTCCTCAGAGAGGATCGCAGGTTCCTCAGAGGCAATACGGAGCACCAGCCGCCCCTCAGCAGCAGTACGGAGCACCCGACGCTACTCAGCAACAGTACGGAGCACCCGACGCTACTCAGCAACAGTACGGAGCACCCGACGCTTCTCAGCAGCAGTACGGAGCTCCTGCGACTCCTCAAAGACAATACGGAGCACCGACAGCTCCTCAACAGCAATACGGAGCACCGACAGCTCCTCAACAGCAATACGGAGCACCGGCAGCTCCTCAACAGCAATACGGAGCTCCCGCGACTCCTCAAAGACAATATGGAGCGCCGGCAGCACCCCAATCTCGATACGGAGCGCCGGCAGTTCCTCAGCAACAATACGGAGCCCCGCAAGAAGCTACCACCACCGAAGTAGCCGACACCACCGAGGAGGAGGATGTCACCACCGTTTCCAGCGTCACCGAGTCCGAGGTGAGTACAAGTTGCCGGTTAGAGAATATTAGTTTACAAAAAGCAATCGAGGCAAATCCAACATCTCGGAACCAACCCAGACAGAATATCGGATAGTCTCTTTCGCTCGTGCAAGAAAGGGAAGATGTCTCGCGCGATTCGGATGAACCCGCAGGACCGAAGGGTCCCCGTCTCGTTCTCTATCTTGTGTTCTCGCTCTTCGTCGTCTCCCGTTGTTCTTATTCGGCCGTCTTAACGACATTAGTATTCGAGTCTTCCTTTGCTTTCGATCGCTGTGCAGGCACGCGTGTGCCCCTACCAAATTCAAAGCCGGCGTGACACAATCTGTGATGCAGTCAGCCGTGATTCGAGTCCTCGGGATCGCTCGCGGCGACCTTTCTTCGGGCTGGTTTGAAAAATCGAACGATGTCTTAATTGCTCCCCTTCCCGAATGCGCGGCCGGCCCTGCTCGAATTAATCGAGCTCCGTCTTCTCGTCGCTGGTAGCAAGAAGGCTCGTAATGGACGATCAAATATGATCACCGGTGTTATTAGACTCGCTCCGATCGCTCTTCGGGGCACGCTTCGTCTCTCTTCTATGCTTTCCAGATTTTCCGGCCGCGATCGTTCAACGCTAAACGCACCGCGGCCTTTCTCAACGTTCGAATAGATCGCGTCGGTCGAGCTAGATTTGTAATCAAAGCTTCGCATGAATCTAAACGAATTCTTTCGAATTTTTACGCGGCGACGCGCATCGATTGCCATCGCTCTCGCTAGAGATTTAGCGTTGCTCGCATCGATTCTCCGAGATCGTTGCATTTCCGAGAGAGCATCCGCGTTTCAATTGTCCTAATTTCGCCGTGGGTGCTCGCAGTCCGAGCCCGTGAACTCCGTGAACGAGCTCGAAGACGAAGAGGTTGACGAACAGCAGCAGCAGCCCCAGCAGTCCGGAGAGTACTACATCGCCCTTCCCGACGGCCGTCTTCAACGCGTGCGGTACGTCAGCCGCCAGGACGCCGAGGCCATGAAGTATTTCGCGAAGATCCGTGCCGAGAACGTGGAGCCTCTTCGTGGACCGATCTACGCTTACGCTCCTCTCGAAAAGCTGCAGATCCTGCCCGCTGAACTGCGACTCTCCGTCGGTCCGGTCGCGCCCATCGCGCCTATCGCAGCTGCCCCCGTCGAATCGAAACCGCAAAAACTCGAGATCAAGCCGGTCGCCACCCAAGTGCAATACCAATACGACGATCCCGCCGGCGTGATTCCGCTGTCCGCTAACCCAGTCAGCTCCTCTTACACTACCTACACCACCAATTACCAAGTGCCCGCCAGCGAGTCCAGATTCCTTCTGTCCGTCCAGTAAACTTGCACCCGCGAACGCTTGGCTCTCTCCTATGTATTTATGTAATTTATGTAGAAATTAACGTTTTAATTGACGAGGGACCTGGACAACCAGGCCCAAACTGATTCAACGCGACGCTCGCGAGTGCGGGGTGATAATGCGAGTTGAGCGAATTATGCGTAGATTAAGAACGAAGCAGCAATAAAGTCATTGTCACTGAACACCGTTTGTCTGTCTGTCTGTCCTGTCTGTCCTGTCTGTCCAGAGGACTTCTATATATTATACAGCACCGATCTTCGTATTCGCGAGCCGTCTGTACCGAAGTTTCAATTGATCCGTTCACAGATGCGTGGCGAAAGTACGAGACGCGATATCTTGTCACGCGGATTTACTTTTGTGATTGGACGGAACCTCGATTATCTGGTCTAAGCAGATTCACCCGCGATTATTCGGATAACGGAACAATTACTCGCAGCAGACTTCAATTACATTATTTGTAATTACAGCAGCAGACTTCATAATATGGATTACAGGCGGTCCTCGATTTTCGCGCATTCTACCTTCGCACAATTCCCGCTATTTCGCACATTTTTAAAGATTCAACTTTGTAAGCCCTTGCGGTCGAATGTTCCCTCTGAGCGGACATCGCGAGTCGAGCAGGCTACATTGTAATTGGATACCTCTTCTCAGAGGACATCGGACTTTAGCCATCGGATTACAATATTGTTCCGATCGAGAGGTCAAGAAACAATTGAAAATATAAATGGAAGCCTTTATGCATCCAGACAAATTTTTAACTATTATGGAGGAATACGATCCTAATGGAGAACGTATAGAGGGTGTCCTGAAAGTGTCAGGCAATCCGGAAATGGGAGGTTCCTGAGGTCATTTGAAGCAACTTTTTCCTTTGCGAAAATTTTCTCCGAGGCTTCGTTTACGAGTTATTAACGAAAAACACTGACCAATAAGAGGCGAGCTCGGCTGGCGCGCGGCGGCTCAGTCAACGAGTGCGCGGAGCCCAGTTCCGCTCATTGGCTCGGCCGACTCGCGCCAAATGATCTCGTCTCTGATTGGTCACTGTTTCTCGTTAATAACTCACAAACGAAGCCGCGGATTGCATTTTCGCTAAGGAAAAAGTTGCTTCAAATGACCTCAGGAATCCCCTACTTTCGGATTGCGAGACATTTTTGGGACACCCTGTATATCAAGTACGTAGGGCAATACAAAAAGACACTGCGTGTTATAGAAATCTTGATCGCGAAAATAAGATAAAAAGGGGGTACTCAACTAACTCTTGACAAGTTTATAAAGAAAACACCCGAAAACTAAATAAATAAATAAATAAATAAATACTTTATAGAACACCGTTTTTGGCGCATATTTCTTTACATCCCTCTACTTTCGAACATTCAACACTCGCACACACTTTCAGGAACCAATTGTGTGCGAAAGTCGAGGGCCCACTGTAATTTCTACAGTAAATCGTTTTGAATATGGGTTGTCTTCGATCGATCCGAATATATACATCGAAGTACAGTAATGTCTCCCTTACTGACGCTCAGATTGTGCACAAAAATGGACAATTTGGGAAGAGGAGACACGATTATTCGAGCCTTGCAGCTAGTTTTTATAATCGTTGACAATTCGTGACTATAAAAACGAACCGCAAAGCTCGAATAATCGCATCTCCTCTTCCCAAATTGTCCATTTTCGTGCGCAATCTAAGCGTCTCAATTAGAAAGACATTACTGTACTACGATAATCTGGGTTCTACCGTAAATCGAATTGCATTAGGATTCGTACGATCTGAAAGAATCGACGGCGCGATAATTCGAACGTTTCAGTTCCCGTTTCGTTGATCGAATTAACCATCGATAGATCGATAATTCGAACATCCCGGTTGTTGTCTCGTTGATCGAACGAACCCTTTGCATTCGAAGAATGTTCGCAAACAACTTACCAGAAACTCGAACGCATTTTTTCCACGAATTAGCAAGCAACATTCGAATGATATAACGCTGCAGATAATTACTCGATCTGAATAGTTTTTCGCAGAAGATCGTATCGTTGTAGATTTCACGAAGTAAAAATTAAAAATCTCGAGAGATTGGCACAATTGCCGGCAGTTTTAACGCGGCCAGAATATCGTAGAATTGTCGAGCTCGCAAGAGAGTCGAAGCATTCGAAGCGAGAATTTGTTTATTCGGCCGTGCTTAAAATTTGAACGAATCGATCGTTTCGCGCGATCGATGGCGTCGAAAATCAGCGGTATTTTAGGAGCGGTGTGATTCGATACCGTCGAGCTTCCTCGCCTAACAAGTTGAACCGTAACTAGTAGGAAACCGTCGTGTGTTCGTTGGTACACAATTGTGTGCGTGTGCGTGCGCGTGCGCGTGTGCGTGTTCGCATCGAATCACCGCATCGAGAAAAGGTAATGGAAGAAATCCCATGAAAGCATATTGTTAGCCGCGGCACGTGGACGAAGCCATAGGCACGGGTGTGTTGGTGAGAGAACCGTCGGCATGTAGACGCGCCTAACCGCAAAATTCCAGAAATTTAATATCTCCCTCGACTCTACCGGGGTTGGCCGTTTCATAAGTTCACTCCGACACAGCCAATCCCTCGACAGGATCCTCCTCGAATTCTACCACCACGTTCCAACCCACCAAAATGTTCTCCCTTTCTCCGGGCTAGTCGCTTTTCATCGTATTCCGTAACCACACCGTGGCCAATTTCTTCCTCTTTAGTTCAATCGAATCGCTGCAACTTGTTTCTCGCTCGTCCGCCAACGGTGTCGCGCCTAAAGAAATATCGAGACGAAACGGGGAAAAATCACGGGAAAAACGTGATAAACGTCGAACAAAACGCCGTTCGTTCTGTGGCAAGAAAAAGAAAATGAAAAAGGCGGTTCGAAACGGCATCGAAACGAGCGTTATGGTTTTCGATACGAGCGAAATTGGCGAAAACTCGTTAAAAGAAATTCCGCGCGTTCGGTCAGCCAACAAAGATTCCTCCTCGCCCCCGAACGAATTGGTTCCTAGTAGTCACAATGGAAACGAGCCGGGATCGGCTTCACGAAATCCCGGAACTTTTGCGAACACAAAGTGCAGCCGAGAACGGTCCGGGAACAAAGGTATCCCGACGACGCTAAGTACCTCGAAGACGCCGGGAGCCCGTAGGTTGAAATCAAATTTCAAATTGGCCAATTACTCCGGTCAAGTGGTCAAGACCAATTAAACTCTACCGATCTTAAGATCGGGCTAGTCGATAAGAGAGCTCCGCGGTTGCTTCCAAACTCTATGGGCCGTTCTCTCCGATTCGGCCAGAGTTTTATCCGCTTTGAACGATCTGTTTTTTTCTGTCTTTTTACTTTTTTTTTTCGTTGAAACAGGTCAGAGAAGACGGGAGAATTTTGTAATTATTTCGGACGTTTCGATATCGTTTCGAGCGAGAATATATATATATATATAGCGGGTTATTTGATCGTAATATTATCCTTTCGGAGGGAAAGAAAGTTTTTCTCTCTTTCTCTATCGTTTGGATCTCGGTGACACGGACGTCTGCGCTCGAGTCAACCAGCCGGCGCGCGGCGCGGAGCGGAGCGGCGCGGCGCATCAACCTGCCCACGGGATATTAATTTTTCCGGAAGTTACCTCCACCACATTTTCCACCCGCCTGTCTCTCTCCCTCGTTTTCTAACGAGTTCCTTGTTTTTGTCCGGCGGTGTTTTATTTTTAGAGGGGAAAAAAAGCGCGAGGGAAAGTGTCTGACATTTAGTAATGCCACCGCGGACCGCGCTGGTTTTAAATAACCGCGTTTTCTTCCGGTGGTCGATTATTTTTATATTTTTAAAACAACCTAGCCTCCCCGTTGTCGCATTAATTTGACCGTGCAGGGGTCAACTAACTTCGCAGGATTTTTTTTTGGCCAATTCCCAGCACTGGCTCGCGCGACGATCGATCGGGAGGATCGGTCTTTCTCGCGGATGCATCGTTGAATCGATGAATTTTTTCATTTACAACTACTAACGAGCTCTGCGACGAACTTGGCCCGCGTTATCTTGCTTCCTTTGGGAATTCGATGGTATACAGGAGAATTATGAAAATTCATAATGGAATAACAACGATGCAAAGCGTAACGTTATACCCCCGAGAACAGCGTTGTCGGCAGATTAATCGTTTCGTTGTATCGGCTCTGAAACGAAGCCAAAGACGGCACTGCAGCTGCATTGTCAACGGCTTCGTCCAATCAGATAAATCTACCCTTGCGTCAGAAATCGGGAACAACGATGTTTTAACCGTGAAACTCGACACGCAAACATCCGGTAGCCGGAGATGATCGTTCGGATAAAAGTCACGATTATCACATTGCAATTTCCTTCGTATCCAAACAAAGCGGCTCCGAGATCGTTGGACAGTAGACATCCTATCGAGACGAAGCACGATCTTTTTAACTCTGCGGACGAGGATCTTTGAAAGTTCTACGAATTATTACTACGGAGAAACGAATCGTATATCAACGACTCAGTCATGTTCTCATTGTTGCGAAAAACAAGGAGCGTTGTTGTTTACCAGCTGTTAATTTAACCGATTCGACCGACCAATAATTTAGAGCGATGTTAAACCTTAGCGCTTCGAAGGCTCCGCTACGGAGACATTTGTCATCTGTTCCGTAATTTGTGCGATTTTTTACATATCCTTTTATGGGCATCTGAAGTTGCCTTTTTGGGACAAAAACAGCTGTTCTTTCTTCAAACTGCGGTCGTTTCAACAATTATTAACTCTTAGCGCTCCGAAGACTCCGCTACGGAGACATTTGTCATTTGTTCTGATAATGATATTCTAGGATATCCAAATTGAATTCTCGAATTGTTGGCTCTCGATAGTATTGCCAGTATTTGAGCGACAGTTGTTTGTAAACCGAACTGGACCCGAGCGTCCCGGTGTGATCATAGGGGTTTTAACCCTTAGCGCTCCGAAGGCTCCGCTACGGAGACATTTGTCATTTGTTCCGTAATTCCGAAGGCTCCGCTGCGGAGCCAAACGTTTTTAGCATACGTTATCGTCGGCGTTAGCAATTGTTATCTGTAGTTAAAACGTGCCAAGTCTGTGCCATTACGATTGAACCATTTTTTGACCTTTTCTATGGTTAGCAACACGGAGAAAAATAAATATTACGACGAGAATTTAGAGCCGAGCGATACCGAAGACGTATTTGATTT